TCATCCGTGTGTGAGGTACGGGCAGCCGTTGTCACATATAAACTATACTTTACCTTTCTTTCAGTGGGGCTACAGAAAGAATTAAGTCGCCTTCGGGACAGGTAAGGTTTAGTTTAGTCTACGGTTAGTTGTGTTTTCGGGTGTTTAGCGATATTTAATTTGGTAATGTAATGCAAAGACAGAGGCAGTTGCAGGGTGTGCCCACGAATTTCATGACAAGTTAACTGATAATCGGTCCTGACTGACTTTGATAAGACCTTTTTTTTGCATTATCATCGCAATACCGTCTCCGGAATATTATGTTCCAGAACTTTGTGGCTTTAGGGAACACATTTTTGGCTGCAATGATAACTTCGGAACTATAATTGTAGTGCAAAGTGTTTCAGTCTTTGCTAAAGGAATGCTGCCATTATTGCTTAATTCCCGTTAAATTCGCAGACGTGGCTTCTACTTTACAGGCATAAAAGCACCCGCCGTTCAGTTTTCCGTTGTCAATCCAGCCGCGCTAGAATTTGAAGTGCGCCTATATACTCTATATACGTACATTTACGGTAAAGGTATTGAAACGGGCCAAAGCTCGCGATTTTCAAAATAAAATACCTTAATTCCAATGCTGTATTATTTATGAACTTTCAAGTTTAATAAAAACACTTTAAAAAAAATATTTACAGCATAAGGACATCATTTATAGATTCTACATGACCCGCACTGTTACCACACAAAGAATCAAGCATTTCTACTGTACCATTCTGGAGAAAACTCACATTCCATGTGCAAGATGTGACTCCAATGCTGGATTAATTATGAACTTTCAAGTTTAATAAAAACACTTTTTTTAATATTCAAATTCTAGCGCGGCTGGCTTGACCACAGAAAACTGAACGGCGGCTGATTTGACTGAAGTTCTACTTTCACTATTTGAACCAGGCTCTGAGACGTTGTACGTTTGTGTAAACACTCATATAATGTAACTCATATGTAATTAACATTATTACAAGTTATTTGTTTAGTAAAGGATTACATTGAATTTGCACCAGTTGTGCTACAGCGATAGGGTCCACTTTGTATTTATTTAATTAAACCTGTAATCCATACCTCTGGTATTGATTATGAGTATACTGAGTTTTTTTATGAGGAAATTTTTTTGTCAAATTCGAGAGTCCTGATTTGTATGAATAGTAATACGAAATTTCATTGCACTGGAGTGTAAATAAAGTAAATGCCTGTTCGTTAACATCTGGGCTTTGGGCATGCACTTTTTTCTAGCACTATAATATTGTCTGTAAACTAAATAGGTCAATGTGTTTTTAACTAAATGGATTTGACAGATACCTGACATCACTGTAAGTGGGTAAGTTGATCCTTATAGTTGTGAAACCCCAGCAGTATTTGCTCTCCTTGGAGTAATTACAGGTGTGTCCAAACAAACAATAGCTCCCTGGTATTTGCTGGGATACCAGTGCAGGTGTGGGACACAAGAGAGTCCATGTACAAATGTGTGTGAACGAAGCCCTTGTTGATGAACTGCATACAGTATTGATCAGAGGTCACCGAGGGTCACATTCAAAACTGATGCCGTTTACTGCCTCTTAGCTTGATGCTGATGTTTATTTGTGTTATAAGTGTGCAATATACATACTAAGCATCATTATTTTTTTTCTGCACCCCCAGTTTGAAAATCTACTCTTGCAGCAATGGCAGCGGTAAGTCTTTCCTGTAGCTGCTGTTCCACCTGTGCACAGGGAAAAGAGGCAACATCCGTGTAGTCATCAAATTTACATGTATTTTCCTTACCAGTCCAGTGTGTACTAGACGTGGGACCTTTCCATTGTGCCTGGTTTTGAATAGGGCTGAGCAGCAGTTTGTTTGCATTTCAGCTTAATAATACTCATCATACTACCTTGCAGTTCAGTGTAAATGTCAGTAGTTTATTGTAGTTAATTCATGCAAAAAGTCATAATGCAATGCACCAGTCACCAGTCATATCATTATGACCACCTGCCTAATACTGTGTACACAGAGTCAGTGTGGCAGTCGGTTGGCACTCGTGTCACTCTGCAGCTCACTGTGCATCTTCTGTGAATCTGTTTGCTTCCATAGTTATACTGTCAAGAAGAGCACGACCATTCAGTGAAGAACTTATGTAAAAGAAGTAAAAAAATGTGGTCGTGAGGACAAGTTAGAGATCATTAGATTTCACTACTCTCTAACTTTGTCTGCCATCCTGAAATGATGAAATACATTGATGTGATTTATCTTTTAAAGCTCATCCATTAGTGTTTTAAGAAATATAACATACTATGGTTTGAACCTATCTGATATAGTTTTTGACAAAAAGTTTGAAAAACTACTTGCACATTTGTCAAATCTTCTCCTTACTTGCAGAATCTGTGTTCATGTGTGAATATGTTTCACTGAAAAGTCCAAAATTTCATTATGAACATTGATTGACTTTAAATCTAGTTGTGTGCATGTCTTGAACCCATGTTTAAGGTGAGCACAGAGAAGCTTTGCCCCTTCAGCCAGAACAGCCTTCTAGTATCAAACTCCGCACATATATCATGCCGTACAACATCCGAGTAAAGTAGCAATAAGTACCTCCCTTCTACTCAAAACCTTTATGTCTGTTTATTTATTTTTAGTAGTTAAATGATTGTAATAATGTTGTTTTACATTACCTATGACCAGATTGGAAACCGTGGAACAGTGAAGGAGGCGGCTGGGTTCGACCCAGACGCAGATGCTCAGAAGCTTAGAGGAGCCATGAAGGGAGCTGGTGAGTGATCCATCCTCTGTCATCCAGAAACCATCATTAGCTAAAGATATATTTGACTGTGCCATTAAGACGAGGCCTCCATGGAAAAAAGCTTTTTTTTTCCAGTCTCTCTCCTCCTTTCCAGGAAAGTGACTATTATTAAACTCGGAGTTAATCATTGCTCCTGTTGTCATGGCAGCTTGATGATGCAATTTTCATAGTTCATTTGGAGGCTTGCACCCATGTACTTTGCCCGACCCTTTTTGTTGCAAAGCTTCCCTTTCACTCCTAACACAGAAGGGAATCTAGACCTTGCTGCTCATACAAAAATAGTAAGCTAAAATTTCTGTGTCACAGTATGGAAACCATGTTAGAAGCAGGATTGTACCACTCAAGAGTCACATCCTAACAAACATTCAGGAGTGTGTAACTGTCACATTTTCTCAGCAAATCTCAAGGAATGTTGAACCTGTTAGTGTTTGCTAACATAATCATCTTCTCCTGACTCCAGTCTGAGCTCTACTGCAAACAGTTTCTGTGCCAGTGTAAAAAAAAACAACTGTGTTCACATCATTCAGTGCTTGTCCCTAATTCTGTTTTCTACACTTTGCTCTTAAATTGTGTTCCAAAAATAGGAATATGATCCTTATAATTTTAGAAATTCTAGATTCATAGTTTCATCGTTATGAGATTCAACATTGCTATTTCTTACAGGCACTAATGAGGCCACTGTCATTGAGGTCCTAGCACATCGTACTATTGCCCAGAGGCAGCGCATCAAAGAGGCCTACAAAAAGACAGTTGGGAAGGTGAGAGTTTTGCACAAAGTCTAAATATGCATGAACATCATAAATAAAAATGCAGGAAACAGAGCAAGCAAAGAAGTGGCAGAAGAATTTGAAAAGCAGCTATGATGGAAGCATTTGGCAGCATCAGCAGATGTGTCATCTCTTAGTCTGTTATTCCACTGTGTACTCTCTCATCATTTCTTTCAATTTAGATGGGGTTTAGCTGTGCTAGCATAGTGCTGATAATGTTCAAGTTAAACATTAACTATAAAACAGAAATTGTACTGTATTAAATTAGTACTAGAACAAAGACCAGGGGGACAGAGAGGGCTTTATGGTGTGTAGGAAAGGAGACCCCATAAAGCCCTCTCTGTCCTGGTCTCTGTTCCAGTACTAATTTAATACAGTACAATTTCTGTTTTATAGTTAATGGTTAACTTGCACATTATCAGCACTATGCTAGCACAGCTAAACCCCATCTAAATTGAAAGAACTGATGAGGGAAGGAGAGTGTTCCCTTCAATAAATAACACACTCGGACCGCACAGAGGTATACTGCCCACTGACTGTTTCTTTGTTTCTTTATTATGTGGATCAATATATTATCTAAAAGGGAACTTTGGGATGTTTATTGCATTGACATAATGAGATAATGACCAGCTCATGATACAGGCTCAATAGAAGGTCAATAAAGTTATCTAAAAGTTCCACTGAGGGAACTGTAGAAAAGGCAGGCTGTGAGTATGTGTCCACAGGCAGAAAGTGTGAGTCATGTTGCACACGGTGACGCCCACATGTGGTCACACAGGAGACTAGTATGGAACACATGCGCTGCTGCTGAAATCTGGGACATCATGTTCATGTCCATGCTGGCAGCACAGAACTTGAACATAAAGACAATATTTAACCATTGTAGCATCCAAGGTTATAGGATGTCCTTCCTGATGAATTTCTGAATCATCTGTTCTCATCCCTGCTGCAGGACCTGGCTGATGATCTGTCCTCAGAGCTGAGTGGGAACTTCGAGGCCGTCGTTCTAGGTCTGTTGATGCTGGCACCTGTGTACGATGCCTATGAGCTCCGAAATGCTATCAAGGTCGGTTTCCTTTTGTCCTGTTTTTAAAGGATAAGTCTAGTAATATTTCATATTTTTCTTATCAACATCAAATCCCCTGAAAACACCAAGTGAACAGACAAGTATTGTGTAGGTGAAGCCTGATATACAGTACAAGCTTACATAAAATAAGCAAGCAAAATGCTTGAATAAAGTCTGTGCTGCTTACCATTATGGGTGCGCCTGTTTTTTGCAAGTATTTTGCTTGCTTATTTTATGTGAGTTTTGCACATCTTGAGCAGTTATGCACACCCTCATTTGGTCTGAGTGCGCTGGCTACAGCGGCTTTGTTTTTTATTTCTGATGTAGCGTATTCCTTTGTGCCACGGTGCTCTATTTTGTCCAGAAACTACTAAAAACATATCAGTGATCACAATGTTACACTGCCTGACATGGTCTCTCAGTACAATAAACCTGCCTACTTTAGTTTATTTTGAGTCGTCCCAGACACTCGATGTTCACAGCATCGCTTGCTCGTCATGTCTTCATATTTTGTCTTAACATATGTCCATATCCATTGATCACAGGGGGCTGGAACAGAGGAGGCTTGCCTCATTGATATTCTCGCCTCAAGGACAAACAAAGAAATAAAAGTCATCAGTGACGTCTACAAGAAGGGTAAGTGTGCCGCTTCTATGAATAGAGTTTCTGACATCAGGTCACTGTATATCTCAACATTTGTCAGTACCTTTCATTTGTGTTATTTGATACTATGTACCAGTCAATAAGCTTCTGTTCTGGCATAAATTATTAATAGAACCATTGCTGCTCTTGACAGTATGTGGTGGTTTGTTTGCTTATATGTTTTTTTGTGGTTGCAGTGACAGTAGCTGGCAGTAAAATGTACATCTTTGTGGTATGACTTGTTTGTACATGTTTTGTACCAATTACACCAGCATAGTTCGATGACAACACTACGAATATTAACAGTCCAGTGTTCAAACATTTTCTTCTCAAACCTGATTATTTTTGCAGTAAAGATAAAATCTGACTTATAACTTGTTGAAATAGTCGCTGTTTTTGATTTTAATCGCATGATTAGTTTATGTGAGAGTAGATACTCAGAGTGCAGATATTACACATAATCTGCTGACCTTTTTACCCCCTTTGAGCTCATTGTTTAGACTTTTACCTTCTCTTTATACCATCCCCAAACAAAACCAAACAGTAAACAGACACATTTATTATTTTATCAAACACACATTTCTAAAGAGTTTTGTGAAATGACAGCGGAACCAAATGGAGAGTGAATATTGGTTTGGAAAAGATTTTTGTTTACATGCTTTGTATTTTAATTTTGTCTTTTTTTTTCCTTTTTTGGCTGCAGAATATGGAAAAGACCTGGAAGACGATGTGTGTGGAGACACATCTGGAATGTTTAAGAGGGTTCTGGTCTCTTTGCTCACGGTGAGCAAACGCTGACCTGCAAGCCTAGGCCAATATGAGTGTTGTAATGGCACATCATTGTAGATCATATAAAAATGGCTTATATAAAAAGTAAAGAGTAAACCTTCAAAAGGTTTGCTGGGAAACTTTAGCATTTCATGACATCGGTTTCCTGTTCACTTAAGGTTGTTTTGTAAGAAAAGAAAAAGACACCAAGATGACTTGTAAAACGTTAACAGGAACTTGTGATGAAAACCTTTATCAGCTTGTGTAGGGCAGTGAAAACAATAGTCACTT